TAGTATATATATATATATATATATATATATATATATATATATATAATAATTTTGCATTTTAAATTTAGTTAAGTCCAGTTATTATAATAGATATGTGCTAAATTTACATGTAGACATGTCAAACACATTCAACACAAAAATTTGGCCCAATAGATTTAACACTATTTCAGATATCTGTTTGTACATAAATCTGTTTGTGTAGACATTTTATGTTTACAAAAAGAAATCAAACCCAGATTTTGATTTAAAGTAATCGGAAGTGAATTACTTTACTTTGAGTTACCTCGTTGAATCCTATTTTCTGATCTTATTTATTTTAACTTTGAAGAGAACATCCGTGATACATACGGCATATCGTATGATGCAATGTCCCTTTATAATTTTCTCTTCAATTATATAAATCTACTCTTCTAGGAGGGTCGCTTGAAAAGACACGCGGTTGCACGTTTTACGGATGATGCGCGCCGAAGTAGAGACACGAGCCTAACTTGCGAAAGAATGCAAGTGTCGGAAGCGAAATGCGGCACGATATAATGGTGCACCAGACAAATGTCGATGTGGGAGCAACAAGTGCCGAGAGGGCCGTCTACTTCTGACAATGAACAGGAAATCTGGCTCTGTACGGATACGTGTGCGAGTAGGAGGTTCTAGAATCGTGCGCTGGTCACAAAGAGGCATTGCAGCCACAATTAGCGATCACGCAAATATTCAGAATCTCGTTTCATTCAGCGACAGCTCTGCTCTACTCTATATAGCGTCCCCAACACCGATATATATTTGAGTGCCCAGTGACGAAACCGTCACGGAGCACGAGAACGCTTTGTTGTACAAGAAATGTAATAGTAGAGCAGTAATAGAATTAAATCAATTATTCCGGACAAGCCTTCGCGGAACAAGTCTTCACAGACATACGCTTTGAAAGTGGGGAGAGAAGAGAAAACTGATATGAAAATGAATGATGAAATAACGCGATTCAGTAATGTAACACGAAGGAGGATCCGAAAGATATCCAATGTTTGAAAAATAATCGGATAGGTTTTTCGTGAAATGTGCTTGTTTGTGAAAAATGTGTTTATCGATTTCGAGAAGAAAATAAATAAAAGTATAAATTAGAAATAATTATGATCCTGCAAAAATATAAATCAATTCAAGGAACAATTAAACAAATGCAATTAAAAGATTAATTTTTCATCTCGAGTGATGATGTTAACTTACAGTTATATCGATCGATTTTTATTTATTAAGAAATAGAAACACAAATGATATATTAATGGTTTAATACATATATATTTATATTACTTTTAACTTGTAATTGATGTTTTATATGTATATACATACATATATGTATATATAAATTAAGAATAATTATCAATAGTTTATGAGATATTTTATATTTTTTCCTGGCATATAATATTTCTGACATAGAATATAAAATATCTCGTAAACTTTTTATTTTTTATATCCATTTTTTATAACCATATCTTAACTTTTAGCAAAAAAGCAAAAAAATAAGACAAATCAATAAGTACAGAGAAGGAATATAGTTGTTTTTAAAGAAAAACATACGAGTATACTTGTCGATTGTTAATATAATAAAATATAATCTTTTTTCAATCAACTATGTATCTTCTTTATTTCACTTGATTTATTTTATTATTCTGTGCATAAAAGTACGATTATTAGCAAATAAATCGTTTATGAGATATTTTATATTTTACATATCAGAATATGCCAGAATATATAAAATATTTTGTAACTATCGATTATTTGATAATCGTACCACACTCTTATATTTAAAATGACTAAAGGTATCGTATTACGTAACAAAAATATATGATCCCACTTAAAAAAATAAAAAAACCTCAACAATTCATTTGCAAATAAAACCATCTTAATCATATAATTCTCTCGAAAGCTTACATCTTTGTTTTGAAACATTTTTCCGAAAATGTTTTACTTTCAGGATGATCGATTCTTTTTTCATTTTAAAATACACTGAAACACTCTTGTATATAAATATATAAGCATCAATTAAATGTATGAGCTTTCGTGCGAATAGGGAAATATTATAAACTGTGTAACGTAACATAATAATTGATAATTGATAATTGATAATTGAAAAAATAAGTGGCGGATAAGGGTAGTATTAACGACGCGACACGTCACGCAGCGGGAAAATAAACGATATATTAATCCTACAAATCTATACGCTTATCTACTTCTTTGATCATCTTTTTACAGTTCACACGCGATATAGTCATTAAAATAGAATTCGATATATATCGCTGTGTCATTATTATACTGCTCGGATATATCGCATACCTCTTAACTCGTTTTATATTCGTGACAATGTAATTTAAAAATCGAACAGGTACTCTATGTGGGCCGTGGATGCGAGATATCGTTCAGAAATCGTAAGAGAAAATGTTAAACAACAAAGCAACAAGATTTTGTTCAAATTTATACGCTGGTTACATAGATGTGAGCGGCAAGCGGAAAAACGTATAAACGTATAAAAAACGTATAAGCAATACGTTTGTTTATGGAAATAACTTTTAATTAATTAGTGACAATAAATATATTTAAAAATAAATTAAGTCCTGGGACTTAAGTATACAATAGCACATTAAACAGTAGGTATCATTTTATTCCATTAATAGTTGAAAAGAATCAATTATATTTTTGTTAAAGTGTATCAGTGAATAATATTTTTTATCTCGCGTTTATAAAATATATAATTATAAACATTATATTATTATTCTAGTCCAATGTCAACATGATAATTTTCTTGATATAACAGTGATATGAATATAATGATTTCTTGATATTATGAAATGTTAACGAAACCGTTAATGAAATTGTGCATTATAAGTTTGGCAACAGATATGTGATTATTTTATAAAGAACACATATTTACTTGAGCATGTTAATTGATATTGATGTTATCATCAATTGTATGTATCAAATTATGTTATTATGTACAATTTTGACATGCCATAATAAGGATATCATAAAATAATATAATATGAATGATATAGTCATACTTTATTCTATTATATGTACTAACTTTAGCGTATTTATACGCTACAAAGGTCTTAATAATTGATTACCAAAAGTTATAACTTCAAAATAATATTAAAAATAATTAAATTTTCCTTAGGTATCCAGTTGTTAGTTATAATGATAACACTGTAATGAAATCATAACTGCGTGAAAAAAATAATATATTTATGATAAATCTTAGTTTCATAGAAATAGTTATCTACAAACTTTAAAGAATTTCATAAAATTTTAAGATTTAAGAATGATTGGCCGATGTATTGAAAATGTGGATGTTATCTAATATTTTTTGAAAATTCGAAAATAGAATTTGGTCGTTAACGAACTTTCAATCGGCATCGATTTTTAACTAATTCATGATTAGGCGGGCATCTGATAGGAGCAGTTATGATTTGCCGAGATTCCGTTTCATTCCACTCCGGTTCCAAGGTCGGTGACAAAATCCTCTCAGGTTTGGTGGTCGAATGTTGGTGGAACAGGGAGTCAATTCCGGGCTTCACGGTATCCTTGATTGTCTGCCCGATGTTGTTCAATGTGTTTCCGATATCATTCAAGACAGAACGCTTCGCTCGAAGGCTGCTGGCTTCTGTGGCGCACGTCAAAGCGACGAGCGGCAAAAGCACGTACAGAAAATGTTGGAAGAAATAAAATCTCATTTCTGTATGTCTTTCCCTGAAGGTGTGGAAAACTGCCACCTTAAACAACGACACGTTCAATATGTTATTGTGAAATATTTCCAATACGTTGGAAAAATCTGTTGTCTAATATCATGTTATTTATTCACTCTTTTTAAACTCTTGCAAATATTGCAAATATTGTAATTAAGGACTGCTAAAGACTTTCGACGTTTCAGCGACGTTAAAACAATCATCATCTTTCTTCCAGATTACTTTCGAGTTTTTACAATCAAGAAAAGTAACACGATAGTTTTTTTTATCTCTATGTTATATAAGTATCTATGCACATAAATGTTCTTGTAGCAGTAGATAAAATTAAATAACTGTAATATGATTAATTGTAACGTTTCGTAACGTCAATTTATTTATTTCAAATATCCTAATGTTCGTATAGAATAATAAGATTTAATAACTAATAGCTCACGTGAATATACGAAAATAGAAGATAATACGATATATATCGCAAAAGTAATAAGATTAATATAATATATTATGTTACATTAATAAAACATGTAAAATATAAATAAATATAAGTAAAATATATAATAACGTATACAAATAAAATATATTAAATTTGACAATTAAATTTTCTACATTGGAAAAATTTATTATCGAAATTTTAGAGAAGTATACATTAATAAAACAACTAATGGAATAACTCGTAATATCTATAAATGATTTAAAGTTGCAAAATTGGAAAATTTTTTATTTTACTTGGAGAAGATTTCAGACGAAATAAAACAAAATAGAAAATATAATAGAAAATGTGTAGTGTGCTGTTTTCTTTTGTCTTTCGTTTCGCCAGTTGCGTTTGAAAGTGATGCGCAATCGCGAGTAGAAGGTTACGTGTCGCGGAAAACGATGAATGGGTTGTCAGAAATGAGTTGTTCGGATCACGCTGGTGTGGAAGGTTCTTATCGTGAGAAATGAAGTAAAATACGAGCCTGTTCAGAAACATTTATGTGCACGTGCTCAATAATGCTTTCTCGCTCCTGTCTACGTCTAGTAGTCACGCGATTGCTTTCATCTCGTTTCGTTTCGCCACGGGTATGCATACGTAATGCATACTATATATTTTTTTCTACATCGGTAATCGAATGCATACTGTAATGAATTGTAATGAATTTACAATCTCAAATCATATTAAGTTTTTCAAATATTACAGCATCATCATCTAAAGCACGCGAATCATCATCCGTCTTTTCGTAAACAGATTTCAAGTCGCTTCGAAAAAGCCTCAAAGTTGATGAATGAATCGATAAATATGAGGCTGATGAAATTTTATTATACTTTTTAAACACATCTTTTAATTATACATACTTTTTAGTTTCTCTCAGGCATTACAAAGTTCTAAAATCAAATAATAAAATTTGAATGATAAAGTGTATTATTCGTACACAAATATTGTCAAACAATTTGGTAAAATCGAATTTGCACATAAACATGTTGAACAATATATAGAACACGAAATATTAATAAAAAAGCGCAATATCAATCTTATCAATCTTATATTATGCAGAAAAAACAAATATGAAACTTGGCTGGAATATCATTAAATTATCCGCTTCAAATTTATCCGGTTTGTAGAAAGTTATGAAATGTAATCGATACTTTTGCATTTTCTGAAAGACTTTTTATGATTATTCATTTATTTCCTGTCTTTGTTACTCGATATCGACAAGTAATCTAAAAGCAATGAGTATTACCATGAAAAATTTTTCACTTTGTTCCGACCAATTTACTTTTTCAATCATGTTACAGCGATAGTAATTACAGCATAGCAAGATGTCGATCAAGCTTTACGTGCCGAGTATTTCAGGGAAAAAGATTGTCATCGAAATCATTCTTTGACAAATCTGTAGTTAACTCATTCTTGATCTTCTATAATTTTAACTATAATTTAGGAGATAATCTTTAAAACAAATTTTATAAATTTGTTTTATAATTTTATAAATTTTATAAGCTTCAAAAATAATAATGGTAAACTTGAATTTTAAAATAAACTAGCATATAAGTATAATTCAATCTTTTGGTGAGATCCAAAATTTATCATTAGCTTGAATTGATGGAGAAAAAAATAAATAAATAGATCGATAGATCTTTCTTGCAAATGGAAATAACTAATTAAATTTACGCTAAGAAAAATTGATTATAACAAAAAATATAACAAAAAATGCCCATTCCCATTTCTTCAGAATGGTAGTCTCAGATACACGAAAGCGTTAGAAAATGAAGATAAGAAAGTTGAAAGAGAAAATGTACGCGAAAAAGGGATTCCCTACCTGGTTTATGTTTTTGCACTTTGTATGCCAAGGATGTTTTATATCTTGATGATACCTAGCTGTAAAATCTTGTAGTGCCCGCTCACAATATAATAAACTCACTTCCAGAACGAATAACGAACGTTATTCACAGGGGACACAGTCGTGGCGAAGGCTTTCTTTGAGCAACGACGAGACATAAATGCAAGAGCTTTCCCATCCAAGTCTCATTCCTCCTCTCGTTCCTCTCCCTTGCCGAGGAGAGAATGTATCGTTTTTTTAACAGGCGGGTCAAAGGGGCGTCATTTTATCTAAGCGCATACGAATCTGTGACGCGATAGACGCTATCACACTTTTGCTCTCGTTTTCACGTTTTAACGTTTTCATTATCGTTCTGAATTCCTCGTTATTAATTTGCCTGGTAAATCCATTTTGCCATTTTGTTCTTGATTCTCCACGATAGATATGCGTTTATTACGTTATGTAAATAAAGCTTGGAAAGTCCCCACGAGTGCTCTTTCCATGCATAGATTCCTTAATCGATTTGAAGTCAATATTGCAAACAGAAATGCTGAGCACTAATCAAAACTCTCTTACACTAATCTCTCTTACTTGATAGAATAAACAAGAAAAAAATGTTATTTATAAATTTTATATTTTTTTTATACATTATCTTTTTTTTATTCTTACACAAATTCACAATTGCCAATTAACTCTGATGAAAATTATTAAAATAAATTTTATATTAAAAAAATCGTTTGTAAATTGATTGAAAGATCTATAAACGAAGCAAAAATCGAACATTTTTAAAAAATATTATTTTTTCCTGGGTAGTTATATTTCATATTAAAACACACTTTTTTAAAAAAAAATCTACGTATAAAAAATTTAAGTTATTGACTGTATTGGTCAAAGAATTTAGGCCGCTCGTTAAACTAGGTTACTTAAGCGACGTATACTCAGACACTCAGTTTTTATTGTTGGATATCTCTCTCGTTTTTTGCCTATAGTCATGTAATCTGACACGACTACAGATCTCACGAGTATTACAAAATCCATGTACACGAACAACATGTACCCGCATATTGAAAAGCAACTAAACCCGTGCAGATAACTACACGTTGGTAATAACCATGTTACACTAACCATGTGTAACACGCGTATCGGGTTTTTTGTAAATGTATATTTACAAAACTTCCGATATCATACATCAAAATCCGTATGAACTTTCGTAAAAAAGTATTTTGTTGTAGAGCGATAAAGACCATTTGTGATAACGACAATCAAGTGCTATTTATGTAAAATATTATAGCATTGTAAATAACTTACGTGATACATGTCACTTACACACACACACACACACACACACACACTCGAATTGATCATAAAGTAGCAGTACTTGATTGACGTAACGATTGAGTTTTAAATATAATTGTGGGACATAAGAATATAACGGAAAAAGTACCGACAACGTTTCGAGTTGTCTTAGAATTGACACAATGGGTTTATTAATAAAATGTTGTTCAAATATTGTTTATGTTAAAGCAATAACACAGTAAGGTCATTTGTATTCGTCATCAAAAGAAGGACTCGCATCGATGAATATTGCGTTGCAAAATTCCGCGCTACGAACGAAGATCCGATAAATAATTCGAGTTCAGTCTTCCGTGGAAATTTCTTAAAATGTAAATGTTTCGTAAACGTTTTGACGCGCAAAATATATTTGTGCAAAATATATTATTTTTTTCTGCAGATGACTCATCATGCGCGGAATAAATTAACAAGTTACTTCGCTCTAACTCGCGATTACTTATGTGCTAATAATTGTAAAAGAATTGTACATAAAATATTTCGAGATGGCTTCTCCATCGTCAAGGCGGAAACGGAAATCTTGCGCTTGCAGCACCGTGAGAGATTGCGTTCCCCGCAAAATTAAAATTTGCAGTTTTGCTACAACAAATATTGCTTCGAAACTGCAAGTATGCTAGGAGAGTCTGGTCTTTATGGTCGTCCAACCGCAAGATAATTTCTTATAGCGCGCTCGAGAGCGAGAAATTTAATTGCTCAAGTTTGCTGCTTCATAACTTTTGTATCTTTCGTACGTTTCAAGCATTGCATGAAAATATTTCGTCGCGCTCAAAATTTACAGGTTGCAGTTGCGACAAGTTCCGCACCGATTCTTTTCACACAGAGTAGTGAAGTACTTGGAATTTTTGAGTCATTAATGAAAACTCTATTAATGTGTACGCTTTATTTTTTATTTCTACTAATATTGAGTATCAACCTGTCGCGCTTTACACTTCCAAGTAATCTAAATACAATTACATTTTAAATAATACATTATAAGTTTATATAATAAGATCTTCTGAGACAAAAACTTATTATTTAAAAATTTAGCTGCTTATGGCAAATGATTTCATCAGCAATTTTACTTAGGTATTAGAGTAAACAATCGTAAATAATCTAATTTGTTTTCTGAAAGTTTACAGTGAGATTAAGTCATCAAGAGATTAAGTTGCCGTGATGATAGATGAACTTAATTAACGTTAATCTTAATTTAATCGGCCACGTTTCCGCCGTGTTTCATAATTATGTATATGTGATAATGGCCTTAAATTACGAGACAACAAATCAGATTGTTTAAGCATGCAATTTTCATATTCAATATTTGCACATATCGATCCGCGCACTTGGCGGTCATTTATATCGTTCGCATGCACGCCAATGCAACTTCCGAAAAAAGGAAGGAAATTGCAT